CCCACAAGTTACTGGTACATACCCTCCCTGAGTCTCCTCCAGACACCTAATTACATTTTCTTTGTTATCTTTTGGGACATTACAATGCGTAATTTGCTCAGCACAATCTTTCAGAATTTTCTCTTGACTTCAGATTCAGCATCTATACAATGGAATTAATTAAAGAAAATTAAATGAGAACAATAGAAGCACAATGCCTGCTATATGGTAAGCACTCAGTGAATGTTACTGCTGATACCTGTGATTTTCTTTAGTTCTATTTATTCATTCACTTATTTTGTGGTGCTGAGAATCAAACCCAGGGTCTCATACATGTGAAGCAAGTAAGCTACATCTACAGCCCTACACTGAATTTTGACTGAAATTTAGTGATAGCCAAAAATGCTCAAAAAATAAATAGCAAAAAAGAAAATGGAACCGTCTCTTGAATCCAAAGTAGACACATCTTTCTGCATAATACTGATGAACTATATGGTGCACAGAATTGTCTAGAAAAATGAAAAGGGAGGCAGTTATCAAGTAAGGGGAATGATATGTGGAGAGGCCTCCTGGAGAAGGACCCCCAACAACAGAGTCTGCAGATCAAGGAATACTATGACAAACGCAGAAATGGGAAGGTTCACAGATGGAATGAGGCTATCCAGCTGTGTGTCCTTTTATGAAGGGACTGAGGCAGGCTTTTACCAGCTACAGAACTTATTCTTCAGCCCCACACAAGTGCTTCTAAGAACTTTTCCACAATTTATCTTCTTGTATAGACTTCTTTTCCCCCCTAGTACTGGAGATGATGGAGTACTAGGGATTGAATCCAGAAGCCCTCTATTGCTGTGTCACACTCCCAGACCTTTTTGTTTTTAGCCAGGGTCTCCCTAAGTTGCTCAGGGTCTCACTAAATTGCCCAGGCTGGTCGCAAACTTGTGATCCTTCTGCCTCAGCCTCCCTGCCCCTCCTCAGTTGCAGGGATTATAGGCTTGTGTCGAACTCAGCTTACAGTACTAGGGGTTGAACCCACTGAACTACATTCCCAGCCCTTTTATTTAATTTTTTTTTTTTTTGAGAGACGGGCTCACTAACTTGCCCAGGCTGGCCATGATCTCGGGATCCTCCTCCCTTAGCTTCCTGAGTAGCCAGGATTACAGGTGTGACTTAGACTTTTAAAAAGGAACAGCTGTGCCCCATACCCCTGGAGACTCTGAGAGCCAAGATGTGCCTCCAGCCACAGAGTACTCAGACAGCAGAGAGGCGAAGGGGGTGCTAGGATGGGAATGGTGGGCTGCCTAGAAGAGGGAGGGGCACAAAGGGTCCCAGGGCCTCTAAACAGCACTACCCTACTGAGAAAACAGCCAGGCACCAAGTACTACAGATCCCAAGCTGCTTACAGTTGAAGCAAAGACAATAGCAAGTGCACAGATTACCAACTGTGGTAACTTAGGTAAGCTTCCTGCTATGTGTACCTAATTATGCCACACAACAGTGACTGTGTACATGATTAAATCTGATCATTAACTGTGTTTTATTCTCTGGGAGAATGTAGTCTCCTTGAACAACAAGGTCTTACTTAAAAATACAAAAGGGGAATGGTGGTGAATGCCTGTGGACTTAGCTATTCAGGCTAAAGCAGGAGGATCACAAATTCAGGTTACTCTGGGCAACTTAGCAAAACCCTGCCTCAAAAAAATACAAGGGGCTAGGGGCTGGTGTTGTGGCCCAGCAGTAGCGTGCTCGTCTAGCATGTGTGAGGCCCTGGGTTCGATCCTCAGCACCACATAAAAATAAAAAACAAAATAAAGGTATTGTGTTCAACTACTTCTTTAAAAAAAAAAAAAAAAAATGTTTAAAAAAAATACAAGGGACTGGGATGTAGTTCAGTTGGTAGAACATTTGCCTTGCATGTGAGAGGCCCTGAGTTCAATCCTTAGTACCCCCCAAAAAAGGGAGAGGAGCTGGCTTCCATTGGTGCCCATTTTGGCATTTTCTTTTTCTGAGAAGCACTTTATTTGTGCCATTTACCCTCTTCAACCTCATGTCTACTTGCCAGTCCCAAATTCTGTCTACCCAGCCCACAAGAGTCTAAACTTTGGCCCCAGGGGCCAGACCACAGCTATCTTTTCCACTGCTGTAGCTCCAAAACCTGAAAAATGCTAGGTTCTAATAAATACTTGAGTAAAAAGAAAAAAATCCAATTAAAAAAAAAAAGGAAAAAGTCTCATGCATATCATCAACACAGGTTTAAAACATCAGCAATGGGCCAGGGGTATAGTTCAGTGGTAGAGCACTTGCCTAGCATGCAGGAGGCCCTGGTTTTGATTCTCAGCACCACAAACAAAAAAACAATAACAAAAAGTAATCTGCTCTCCACTACTGGTTAGCATGTTCAACCCTGGGTGGTACCACCAGGGCAGGCAGCCTGTGACCATGGCCCTGTGGCTGTTCACTCTTTCTCAAGGGAGTGGCCATGTCGTGTGTCACTAAGAGGCTACCTCGCAACATTGGAAACAGAATTATCTTCAATCTCTGAAAAGATACATGTCCAAATTCAGTCTGGCCCAGTTCTTCACTTGAATCCTTTTTTCTTTGCAAGAACCACTGGAATTCATAGAAAATGGGGAGCCAAATTATAAATGTAGGGCTTTTTTTTTTTTTTTTTTTTTTGCATTGGTGGGGGTGGCACACAATGGGGATTAACCTAGGGGTAATTTACCACTGTGCTTTGTTCCCAGCCCTTATTATTTTTTGAGTCAGAGTCTTACTAAGTTGCATAAATCCTCACTAAGTTGCTGAGACTGGCCTTGAACTTGCAATCCTCCTGTCTTAGCCTCCAGAGCTGCTGAGATTACAGGTGTGTGCTATGGCCCAGCTATACTTCAATCTCTCTTATCAACAAGAAGTTACCCAAAAACACACTTCAAAAACAAAAGAATAAATTCCACTCTGGAAAATACACCTCGAGAAATATTCATATAATCTGTATCAAAATAGTAACAGCCACACTCTTATGTTAGAAAACAAATCATATGGTCTAATGGCAAAGGCTTGGATGATCAAAGGGCAATAAGTAAGCAAGGGAATGCTAGCACAGCCCTGACCAGTTGACAAGTCAGGAACTAGTTGCATTCACCCAGGGAAAAGCATATATAAACTTATTTTTTAAAAATCCAAAACAATGACTAAAATTGTGTACAAAAGTACAATATATAAACCAGTATAGTGGCAGGAAGCTGCCAGCCCCAGCAACTTAGAGAGGCCTTAGGCAACTTAGTGAAACCCTATGTTAAGATAAAAAACAAAAAGAACTGGGGATGTAGCTCAGTGGTAGAGTACCCTTGAGTTCAATTCCCAGGGCCACTAGGAAAAAAATATATATATTAGGTAAGTATGGAATTAGGAAAGCTATAAGATCTTTTTTCTTTTTGTTGGGCTTCTTAGCCAACTGGCTGCTGCTTTTATATAAAGTAACCCGATTTTTTTTGAAAGAATAGGGGAAATAGGGAGGAAAGGGAACAAAACTATAGGGAATGAAAGGGAAGTGAGCCCAGAAAAGAACTGTCCAAGCAAACCAGCTAAGGTCTGTCCTGCACTAACTAATCAACAGGAAGTCAACCCTGAACCCCCCTTTGATATTACAAATGGCAGAAAGGTCACTCTGCCCTCTTTCCCATTTCAGAAAATCATGATCCTCTGTAAAATTTACCTCCTCTACTCCATATTTATCTATATAATCCTAGCTATTTGCTTGGACAGCTAATTCTCATTCTAACACCTATTCTGACCAAAGCGGCAAGTTCCTATCATGGTGAGTTCCTGTTAGACCAGCCCAGCAGATGCAGAATACTCATATCAAAGCCTTTACTCCTGGTAAATTCCAATCTCAGGGCACTAGGGCTTCTGAAGCCACACATACATTGTTTGAAGAATCCTCCTTCCTGGAGTTGCAAGTCCAGCAAATTTCACAAGGTCAAGTAGCTCAAGGCACAGCAGCCAGGCAGAAATAATCTAAGGAGCATGTTATGATTCATTTCCCATCTAGAGATCCAAGAAGCACAATAAACACTTCTTTTTCTTTGCCCTGGAGAAACTGCAACTGAAGGAAGGGAACAGGTTGCTGAGCTCAGCCAGAACAGAAGGAAAGGGATGGCAGGGTGACCTGCTCCCTGGAATTCTAGAACAATGCTGGCAAGCCTCTGACTCACAGGATACTGACAACAATGACCAGCTGATGCTCATGACATGCACATTCAAAGGGAGGCTAAGTGGCTGCTCAGAGACTTCTGCTACTGGTTCCCCTCTTGTGGAATGGCTTACAGCAAAACGTCAGGATTCATACCATCACCATCGCACTGGTGGGAGTCCCTTGTCTGCTTCCTAGAAGGGTGTCTACAGCTCAGAGTTCCTATACAAAATTGGAACTCCTATACAAAATTGGCACCATATCACTACATGATATGAATATCATCCTGTTTCCTCAGTTAAACTAGAAACTTCCTAAAAAACAGATCAAGATTTTCCTCAGGGGTTGGGGATGTGGCTCAAGAGGTAGCGCGCTCGCCTGGCGTGCGTGCGGCCTGGGTTCGATCCTCAGCACCACATACAAAGATGTTGTGTCCACCGAAAACTAGAAAATAAATATTAAAAAAATTCTCTCTCTTTCTAAAAAAAAAAAAAAAAAAGATTTTTCTCAGACTCAAATTTGTCCAGCACCACAGGGAGCCTCCAACTTGAGTTATCTGTTGCAATGCACAAACAGAATGTCTAAAGAGACTAGCTAAATGAAAGTTTTATGTTGTAACAACCAATAACTCTTTTTGGTTTTGGTAGTGCTAGGGATTGAACCCAGGTATCCTGCATGCTAGGCAAGCACTCTAATCACTAAATTGCACCTCCAGGTTTTTTGTTTGTTTGTATGGGTTTTTTTGTTTTTTTTTTTTTTTTTTGGTAGTTTTATTTAAGCACACACACAAAAAAAAATGCACATGAATTGTCTATTCATTTTCTTCACTGTGCAAAATATAAAATGGTTCATGAATGTGTGTCATCCTTGTGCAGGGGCCATGCTAATCTTCTCTGTAGTTCTCTAATTTTTTAGTATATGTCCTGCTGAAGCAAGCACCTTCCAGTCTTTCTTATTTCATTTTGAGGTAGGGTCTCCCTAAGTTGTGAAGCTGGCCTCTAACTTTTTGATTCTACTGAGTAGCAGCTGTGTGCCACTGCACCCAGCTTATATTATTTCTTTATGGTAAAAACAAAAACTCTACTTTTAATTTTTTAATAATTTTGAAATACACATTAAACTATAGTCACCTTGTTGTGCAACAGATTCCCAGACTTAATCTTCCTAACCAAAATTTCTACTCTTTGACCAACATTTTGTCATTCTTCTTTTTTGCGGGGGTGGGGTGGGGGGTAGGGTTACCAGGGATTGAATTCAGGGGCACATGCCCACTGAACCACATCCATAGCCCTATTTTGTATTTTATTTAGAGACAGGATCTCACTGAGTTGCTTAGCACCTCACTTTTGCTGGGGCTGGCTTTTAACTCGTGATCCTCCTGCCTTGGCCTCCTGGGCCACTGGGATTACAGGCGTGCGCCACCTCATCCAGCAACGTTTTGTCTATCTTTTTCCATCTCCCCACCTGGTGACCACCTTTCTCCTCTTTACTTCTATGAGTCTGACTTTTTTTTTTTTTACAATTCAGGTGTAAGTGGGATCAGGAAGTTGTTTTGTGGCTTGCTAATTTCACTTAGCTTTATGTCCTCTATAGATTCATCCATGTTGCTGTAAATGACAAAATATTATTCTTTTTTAAAGCTGAATAGAACTGCCTGATGCATGCACCTCCCATTTTATTTTTATCCATTTATCAGCTGAGAGAGAGAGAGAGACAGAGAGAGAGAGAGAGAAAGCGCGAGCCTTCTTACTACAAATGAAATAAAATAAATACAAGATTCACCCCTGTGTGCAAGGAATGGTTCTTGGAACTAAAAAGACAAAGACATTTTGGTCTCATAAGAGGTATAAGGCTGAGAACAGTGGCACATGCCTGTGGTTCAAGCTACCCAGGAGGCTGAGATAAGAGGATTGTAACTTTGAGGCCAGCCTGGGCAACTTCGCAAGACCCTGTATCAAAATATCAAAATTATAAACAAATAAACAAGTGAAAAGGAAATAAAAATAATCAAAATGAAAATATAAAAAGGACTGGGGATATAGCTCAGTGACGGAGTGTCCCCACTTGCAATCCCCCAGACCTGCAAGGGGGGAAAATGCTTCTGCTGAATTTTCTTTTTTTTTTTTTTAGAGAGAGAGAGAGAGAGAGAAAATTTTTTAATATTTATTTTTTAGTTTTCGGCGGACACAACATGTTTATTTGTATGTGGTGCTGAGGATCGCACCTAGGCTGCTTGAGCCACATCCCCAGCCCTTCTGCTGAATTCTCATTGTGCAGAACCTAGATGGGCAGTCAGCTCCCAGGTACTTTTCTCTCTACAACCAATTTTAAGCATTAGAAGCTATTCCTTCTGGGCAGAAGGCAAAAGGGGTTGAGGCAGAAGATAGCACCAACTACTAGTGTGACAGACCTGGGTACTATTAAGAACTAAGATCAAGGGTTGGGGTTGTGGCTCAGTGATACAGTGCTTGCCAGGCACGTGTGAGGCACTTGGTTTGATTCTCAGCACTATAGATATTGCATCCATCTAAACTAAAAAAGAGAGAGAGAGAACACTAAGATCAAGAAAATTAACAGAGCTAAAGTCTCTCAGAAGTGAAAAGTCAAGTTGGCATTAAACCTGAGTCATTTTAAATGCAAGGTGATTCCTCCTGTCTCCAACAAATTCTTACTGGTTCATGCACTGAAATTAGTGGGGTGTCACCACAGAATACTAGCCACATGGAAACTACAGGCTTTGGAAGCTCCCTCACCACACTGCATTTATTCTCACAGTGTAGGAATTTAACCAGGGCATGTGATTTATTGTTTTAGTATGAAAAGTAAGAATAGTCCTATCATTTCTAAGAAATAAGTGCTTAGGCTCCATTTAAAGAATCATAGCTGGTCTGGAGCTCAGTGGTAGGGTGCTTGCCTAGCATGTGCAAGGCCCTGGGTTCAATACCCAGCATGCAAAATTAATTTATTAATTAAGATTCAGAGCAAATTCTTCCTGTCCTCAAAAGACTTACCTTGGCTCACTCAGATTACACTGAGAAGATTGTTCCCTGGTGAGGTTTACTTTTATTAACTGATAGGGCAGCCCAAGACTGATCCCAAGGGGGAAGATGCAACAAGACAGCACTCAGTGCTAGAAAGAGGCAGTTAAGCCTCCCAGACCTTGATGGACAATGAAGCCAGGGGCTCTGGGACAGGGCACCAACAGGGAGTCACAATAGGGTCTGCATATCTCTATAGCACCCATCACCAGAGTAACTACAGAGAAATAGAAGATCTGGCTTTAAGAATGTGGAATTATATCATTCCTGTGTCTTTCTGCCTCTGAAAATGTATGTTGCCCTGGAAATAGTTGTGATAGAAATATGTTAATAGAAACTTCAAGATTAGCAATACAGGACAAAGTTTTGGTCAACTAAATGAGGTGGCTCCAATTTCTCGCTTTGGCGCTGTAAGGGATCTTTACATGTTTCCACAGACCTACAGAGTTAGGTATTATTCCATGTTTCTTCACAGTAATTGTTCAGAATCTGGTGATGAGGAGTAGGTACAAGGATTCCTAGACCAAGGACCAATAACTTCAAATAATTGGCATGTCCAACATAGACTTGTGTCTGTGTTGGCAGGGGACCGAGATATCAGCTACTGGACTTTCCCAGTGCAAGACAGAGTAGTTCTTTACTTCCTCACCAATAGGAGAAAAAAAAAGGAAATTCCCACGACATGGCTTCCCCATCCCAATGGTCACTTAGCACTAACTGTATGAATGCCACATGTGGCTATTAATTTAGATACATATTTAAATATTTGTATTATACATCCTACATCATGAGACTGAATCCCTCCAACTGAAAGCTTCTAGAAGATGGGTTCAACAAGTCTAATAGCAGGCATTTGTACAGAAATTCTTTCTGTACAGCACAATACTAACATGTTATTATAACACACAAGAACTGAATCATGTATTGAGTTGTGATATCTTTAGAGCCTGACAAGTGGTGGGCACCAAACCAAAGTTAACTGAGCTGAGCCAGCCAAGAGAACTCTTCCAATCACACCGAGACCAAGAGGCAGCACACAGACATGGTTAAGGCAAGGTTCCTGACATGTGCAACTGAGAGCAAACCATGTACCAGGGTGGCCTTGGACCTCTTACTTAATTTCTCAGATTTCTTTTCTTTGTAATAACAATTCTGAACGTAGTTATGAAAATTAAATAAATGCATAGTTCCTGGCTTTACATATTTCTTTCTTTTCTTTTTCTTTTTTTTTTTTTTGGGGGGGGGATACTGGGGATTAAATTCAGGGGTGCTTAAACGCTAAGTCACATCCCCCTTTTTATATTTTATTTAGAGACAGGATCTTACTAAGTTACTTAGGGCCTCACTAAGTTTCTGAAACTGGCTTTGAACTCATGATCATACTGCCTCAGCCTCCTGAGCCGCTGGGATTACAGGTGTGTGCCTCCACACAGGGCCTGATTTCTAAGAATGTTAGTAGGTGGGGCAACATGGCACTGCCCACAGGGACAATGAAAAGGGTCACAGTGCCTTCCAGGGGATAGTCCTCATTTGTGTTGGGATCACTAGAAGTTAAACCTATGATTACTGATTTATTGATGAGATAGAACTTAAAACTGGAGAAACCAATCATTTATCAGTCTGGTGTCTGACTGAAAGTAAGCCAAGAATTATAAGATTTAGTTCTGCTTCTCAGGTCTTAGTTCTTGCTGCTACATAGCTGTAGGCCTTCCTGGAACTCCAATGAGTTCATTCTCAGCCAGCAGGAGGGAGAGCAGAAAAGTTCTGACTCTCCCTTATTTCAGTTAGAGTAACTCCTATATTCCTTGCTGTATTTTCTCAAAAGAAAGAAAGGGGAAAAAAAAAAAAAAAAAGCTTGTGTTGATACTAAAAATAAATTCTAGAAAACAATATCAGGGATAATCTTGGTGGTTTGATATTATATTGAGAGCTACCAAAGTAAGCCTTTCATGATCTATTGTAGCACTTATATCCTGTTATATTTCTTTGTTTACATGTTTGTTTTCCAGATTACAGCTCATTCATCTGAGTCTCCTATCACCCACACAGAGCACATAGCTAGTCAGAGTTTCCTAAGTGAATAAGTGAGTTCGAGAATGCTAAGTATTATCAAAAATGAGGCACTCTCACAGAGCTGATGACAGCAAACAATTAAAGATGAATCCCAGAAATAAAGAAAACAGCTGGCTAGCGAGCAAGCATTTCCCTGAGCAGCATTTATGGCAAAAATTTCTACAGAAGAAACGTGAATGGATGGTGGGGGATAAAAATGGCTTTGTAGCCAAGCATGGTGGTGCTTGCCTGTAATCCCAGGGGCTCAAGAGGCTAAAGCAGGAGAATCACAAATTCAAAGCTAGCATAGCAATTTAGTGAGGATCTAAGCAATTTAGTGAGACCTTAACTCTTAAATAATATTAAAATAGGGCTGGGGTATGGCTCAGTAATTAAGTGCCCCTGGGTTCAATCCTGGGGGAAACACACACACACACACACACATACACACAAAATCAAAAACAAACAAAAAAGAATGAGCTTGTAGGGCCAGAAGTGAAACATGCCTATAATCTCAAGCTGTTCAGAAGTTTGAAGGAGAAGGATCACAAATTCAAGGTCAGCCTAGTCAATTTAGCAACATTTGAAAAGGAAGCAGCTCAGTGGTAGAGTACTTGCCTAGTATGTACCAGGTCCTGCATTTAATCCCCAGTTCTGCAATAAACAATAAATACATGGTCTTATGGGTGAATCAAACATGTGGTTCTCTGTGCTTGAATTCATTGTTTCATATTTGAAGGAGAAATATTCCATTAATTGATTTTAAACCAGATTCCACACATAAGGCAGAGCACGTTTCAGATTTTGTTTTAAGGTCTCTGAAAGCCGATTAGTAGGAGGACACTATAC